TAAGAATCGCGTCGAAGTCGAATGGAGCACTGTAAAACCTTCCATATCTTCACATTTCACCTGCACCCCTCCTTCCTTCCTGTACAAAGGAATTTCAACGGGGGATTTACCGGGGGTTAGGGGTAGGAATCGTTAATTTTACAAACGGGGCACCGGAACGCCCCCGGGTCATCCCATGACATTGAAACCCAATGTCATGGGAACCTTGGTGAAACAATATTTAGCTAAGGCACTTCGTCCCTTCGCATACCACGAGCCATATCACGAGGAGGACAAGACAAACCGCGCCATCCACGGCGAGAATGATCCGAACCAAACGACACCATTTCTTTTGGAAGCTTTGGTTGTTTCCTCCTCTCGTCGCCATCCTACCGGAACCAAAATCCTTTTGCAACAACGCGGGAGACCCTCCCGAGGCTTCCAAGTCAACTCGTTCGTTTGACTTCCTACGCTCCTCCAACTCAATCCCCCTCACACCGACCATGTGATCCTTGCTCCTCTTGCTCCTACTACTACTACTCTTGCTCTTCTTGTCACACTTGCTCAATAGTGGGGCCCGCGTCGAAGACCCGCCCTCCGCTTGCCCGTTGCTGGCGTCGGGGAATGTCGACGCGGGGCCCACCGGGTCGGGCATCGCGGGCCACCTGTGGTCCCCGCCTGAGACGTTCTCGAGGGAGGTGATCAAGTTCTTGATCACCGGGACGAGCTGTTCTTGGAGAGTGGCTATGGAGCTGAGACTCGACGTGCTTCTGCCCGAACTGCCCCTCCTCGCGTGCTTTTCGAACTCGCCCCTCAGGTTGTGAAGAAACCGAAGAGCCTCCGCGTTGCCGAGGGACTCTTCTGCAATTGCAAAGTAGATGTACCCGTCTTCTTCCATCAAGAAACAGAAAGTCTTCTTACCCATAGTCTGAAAGTACCATTTGTGATGAGGCGGCGCCTTCCCCAAGCATTGCGCAGCCAAGTTCTCAATCTCCATGTCTCCATCATCATTGTTGTAAGTGTACAAAACCCGACCCCCCTTCGATACAGAACAATAACAGACACCCTTTTTAGATGAATCCATTCTTTCTTTCTTCTTTTCCAAAGACGGGTTCCGATCTTCGGGGCTTCAATGAACAAATTTCCCAATCCACTCACCAGAAACAACACATACACCTTCAAATCCAACTTTTACAACCATAATGTTAGTTTTTTTTCTTTTTAACTTTCTTTCAGGAACAGCTCAAAGAATTAAGATTTTGGCACACAACTTTTCAGGCACAGATGCAAAGATCAAGCAGATATCTAGCAGTTCATCACACACAAGCTCGAAAAAAAAAATCCCCAAATACCCCCTGGAAACCAAGAATCAACTCTACCATCACTCTAATTCTTGAAGTACAACAAACCCATGCCCACAAAAATTCAAAAAAGAGCAAAGATAAAAACAGATTCGATGGTGAATCGCCAGACCCAAACCCAAAGTTTCAATCTTGAACTGAAATCGAGGCAAAATATGCAAATACCCGAAACAAGGAAAATAGGTTACCTGTTTAAGTGCTCCAAACCCTTTGAAACACAGTCACTGGGGATCTGGGGCGCAGGGAAGAAGACGATTGAGAAAAGAAGAAAGAAGCCAAATGGAATTGGATTTACCAGAGGATCAATGGATTATCGAGCGAATATTTCGGAGCAAATGATACGATGTGAAGGGTGCGGAGTAGCCCGTTGACTTGATCCGAAACCGGAGACCTCAGCCCGAGCCAAAGTTTCCGTTTTCCGGCTATGGGGTATAGTCA